GAACATGAACACCACGGAGATCTTCTTGTTTCCATGATTCTGGAAATACAACTGGAAAGGACTTTGTTTCACCACATTTTATTCCAATTATAGAGTCTAGGAAACCGGGGAGAACATTATCTACCTCTGTATCAAAGTTAAAACCTGGGAAATAAAAAGAAAACAATGAGAGAGAGAGAGCTAAAAAGGACAATTATGTAATGAAATATGGAAGCAATTTACACATTCTGATATGCTTTTCACAGAGATTAGTGGATGTGCAAATAGTGACTCATTGACCGTGAATCGGATAGACATAGGCTCGTTCTTTCAACCTTTTTATTCCAATCATCCAAACTCCACACTCCAAGATTCAAGTCTAGACTCCAAGCAGTTTAAATTGAGGCAAAAAGAACATGGCCATGGGAAAACAGGGTGAGCTCTTCCAGGCCAAATTACTCAACGCGGGTCGAGTGTCGTGTTCTTGACTTCTTGACATAGCAACTTACAGATTCTACTATGCTTTTCAGAAGTATGGTGGATGATCACGTTCCCCAATTGAATTTGTTCTTTCATTGTTAGTGAATGTGACAAATATAGTTTCAATGAAGCAGTCTTAAATTTCCAAAGGAAGAGCAGAAACTCACATTCAAAGTCGTTAGAAAATATAAAACATAGATGTTGAAGAATAGATTGAACCTCTACTCTCTGCAGCTGGAATTCTTTTAGAATTTGATTCATCTTGTTCAATTGTCATAGCTGATATATCAAGAACTGCTACATCGCCAACCTATTACTCCAATAAGATGCAACAATCAGATTGCTTGACCCAAGAAAATGAATTTGACTTCAAAAGAATCATATATACTCCATGTGTGTGCGTGCGTGCGTGCCTGCATGCATGCATGCATGCATGCAAGCATACATACATACATACATACATGCATGCATGCATGCATGCATGCATGCATACATACATACATACATACATACATACATACATACATACATACATACATACATACATATATATCCATAAAACCCCTGAACAATCTACCTTACAGCAGTGGAGGTGGGGCATGATTTACCTGTAGTCCCCTATCAGCAACAATTTGTAATGGACCTAGAGCTTTGTGACGAAACTTCAACTCTTGTTCAGCAATTCTCTGAGCATCTGCATCACTGGCTAACTCCAAAACAACCTTACAATTTTTGTATGCATTTTCTGGAACCCACTTGATATCAGGTGCCACATCAACAAGAACATCATACCTAAATTACCAATAGTAAGTTTCAGTATATAGTTACAAAGGTTCCATTTGCAGCCAGCCTATTCTGGCTTATTCTGCTTATCTCGGCAAAATAGCCCTAACTAAACCGACCTTAAAAATCTTGTGGACAAAAGTTGTCCAATATGCTGTCTAATGACCACAAAGATACAACCCTAACTATAGTATATGAAGGTGTTGACTCCTTAGAAAAGAATTACTCCTTCCCCTTCCATCTTGCTGTTTTGTCTCATTTCAATTTACGATGTTTGACTAATAGTCTAATACGGAGTACTATATTAACTTCAACTTATTTAAATATCAATGTACAATTGAAAAAAAAATTATATATTTAAGAACTACATTAAAAGTTCTACTATATAAAACAAGAATGACCAAACTAGTTCTGTAATAAAAAGGAAAAATATTCACACTACACCTGAGGTGTGTAGGCATATACTACCATCTCAATTTTAGAGGTAGCTAAAAGTGTTAAACAAGAAGTAGATGGAGTGATGGTTTTGTAGACCTCAGAGAGTTCAGGGATATATACGTCTTTTCCATGTCCTGAAAGTTTGTAGCAATATGAATTGAGTCTTCCAAGGCCTTTCCAGTTACCTATGGAGATCGGCACGCAGAAAAATAGTTAATACACCAAGAAACTATCTTGTCAAATCTTAAAATGTTCAAATCTCACAAGACCTTGTCTGAAATTCCAATGTAATTGCAAAGGACCAAATAAAGTTTCCATGCCAAATACTCCACATCCAATATGTCATGACTGTAAAATCCACGGGGTGATCCCTTCTCTTCCCACATTCAATGAGAATATAAGGGGGGAGAGAAAAACAAATCCTCAAAGTACTTTGATAAACTCCGTACAATCTAATTACTTATTTCCTCGTAGCGTAGAGGAGGAACTTCAACAGCAAAATGGAATTTTCATCAGTGTGTATTGCTTAGCAAACTAAATGGTAACAGGAAAATAGCAAACACACCGAAGACAAGGCATGCGGGAGGGTTCTCTTGAGAATAGATTCAACAGTAGCTTTCTGAACATATTGCTTCCCGGCAAATCCAACCAGTATGCTTTCAGGGATACTCTTGCCAGGGCGAAACCCGGGGACCTGAATAGGTTATTTGGATAGCATTTTCACTTCCTCCAGTTTCCTCTTTCCAGAAATGAACAGAGGAAGAACCAAACAAACAATTAAGGTACCTTTGCATGTTTTGAAATTTCCCTTATGACTCTTCTGTAACAATCCTCACATACAGCAGGAGGAACTTCCACGCTCAATTTGACCTGCAAAACAATCACAGGTTTTATGCTACATAATTCTGTTTGGACAAAATTAGCCATAGCATCATTTCAATAGGAAGAACAAAAACTGAGAATTACACGTATAAATTCGATAACCAGTCTACAAAAACAATCAAAAAGATCACAATTATAAACAGAAGTAAAAAATTGAAAGATAAAAAAAATAAAGGTGGGTTTTTTTGACTGGCTTGGTTGGTGTCTTTGGAACATTCCAAACCCACCCTATAGGTGAAGGGTTCGAAGCTGGTACAAGGATGAAAGGAGAGAAACAATAAAGGGGGGTTTTGTAGGCTCACCCTGGAATTGGGCTCTTGTGTTTCAACGACATGAAGATCGGCTGGGAGTTTGTCCTCCACAGAACCAAAGGCGCCGGCAGCCGCGGAGACTGCAAAATGCGGCCGCAGTTTTTGACCTGCGCGGAGCTGGAGAAATGAGAATTTGCAGCAAGAAAACGCCGGTGACACAATCCTTGGAGAAGCCTGGGAAAAGTTGATTTCTTTGTTGGGTTGAAAAATTGGATTTTCTTGGAGAGACAGAGAGATGAAGGGAATGCAGAAAAGGGAAGAGAGAGACATGAGAGGGCCTAAACGGGTACAACGACATTGAAGTCCATCCATTTAAGAATGGCAATGTTAAATTTTCTGGCCTGGTAGCCTATCAGATCGACTTACTGCCACTTAGAGGAGGGGAGAGCTATTTTTTGGTCTTCTATTTGCCTTTTTAGCTTTCCAATTTTAGCAATTCATTTTTTTACACTCACTCCAATCATATCTTTTATATAATACACTTTTATAATATTTTATTATTTTAATATTTAATTAATGGTATAATTTGTACTCTACCAGCAAAATCTACAAAAAAAAATTGTGATCTTCTAAAATAATTGAATTGCAAATTGAAGAAAATTTTGGATTTTTGATCAAAACAACAAAATTTTCAAATCTACGAACAAAATCCACAAAAAAAGATTGCTTCGCTTTGCAATATCAAAAGTAAATTCACATGATTGGGAGGCGCAGTTGGCAGCATCAAAACAAAAGAATTCAACTCCAGAAGTGCTCCCCAAATCCGTGACTTGTAGTGTTGGCCGTTGGGAGAGCAAATAACAGGGAACAGATAGAAGGAGACGAATAGACGGGCTTTTCCACTTTCCTACAGTATCATCTATTTTTAGCATATGGGAATGCAGAAATAGATTAGGGTGTATTTTTTAACAGATGCGTTGGAGACATTTTTATTGAATAGTAAAGGGCATATCTTTTATTTTTTAGCATATACTGAATTTTAAACTCCCCGTTGGAGTTGCTCTTATTGGTTATTCTTCAAATTTTTTAAAACCTTTTTTCTTCCACTTATTTCTATTATTTACACTCTTTCTTCTAAAATATTTTACATTTTAGTAAAATAAAATTTAAATTTTTTAAATTTACTTTATTTAAATATTGGTATAAAAATTATTTAAAAAATTACATATTTAAAAAATCACATAAAAAATTTTACAAAACAAAAGATGACAAATATATTTTATTTTATCAAAAAAATAAATTATAATGTACAAAAAAACAAAAGTTTCATTGACTTTTGAATAGTGAAAAGTATAATTTTTTTTGGTGACACAGGGAGAATTACTTATTTTTATTGAAATCAGATCAAAAATTTAAATATCAGTATAATTAAATTACATCAGATCAAATCATATCAGAATTTATTCTTATCATATCAGAACTGACTAATTAGGTGAAATGTAAGGTGACCTTACTCATATATAAGTGTCTAGTTTGCTTTACGTATCAAACATTTTACTAATAATATTTAAAAATATATAATAAATTAAAATATAACAAGAGTACATTCTATAAATGGATTTTTTGTTGGTGATTTTAGTGTCATCGATTTATTTTGTGTAATTAGATTTACTTTGATCGGACAGGAATTTAAATAGACGTTGTCAAACGAGTTAGGAGGCGCGGAGTGCGTGCTCGTTCAACGATATTATAAATTCATTGCGGGGGTCCGGGATAGCGGGGGTCCGAGGGCGGCAGCCCCCGGGTAGCGGGGTCCAAGGGGCGGCAGCCCTTGGCAGGGTCCAAGGGGCAGAGCCCCTGGCCGGGCCGGGACAGCTTGGAAATTTTTTATTTCGGACGTTATTTCTTTATGAAAATCCTTAAGATTTTCGTGATCGGAGTCCAAATCATTAAAGGACTCGAACTAGCGGATAAACGTCAAAATATACTTTAAAACCGCAGGAGGCTCTTCAAACTCGTGCATATCTTCTTCCCCACGCGAACGCACGCGTATGTTTACGCGAAGGATCATGTCTGATCATGGATTTTTCGATTCTATAAAATAGAATCTCGTGGTATGGATTGGGGTACAGATTTTCGATTGCTTGTTCTTAATTAACGTCTTATCCGATTGAAGTATTTCGTATACCTCGAAATAACTTTGATCTGAAAGCGTTTCGTACGCGATTCGTTATTCTATCGAGTTCTTCGTTTAAACACTGCTTCGCAGTGTTCTAATTCATTAAATTCATACAAAGATCAAAGTTATTTCTAAAGAACTCAAAGATGACGTGTGGTGATTCCGTAAGAGATTTGAGCAGCAAGTTCTCAAAGTTAGAAAAGTTCGAAGGCCATGACTTCCGTCGATGGCAGAAGAAGATGCACTTCCTTCTCACAACATTGAGGGTTGTGTATGTACTGAGCACGCCTATGCCGCAGATCATGGATGACGATACACTGGTAGAGACGAGGTAGTGGTGCAAGTGGGAGAACGATGACTACATTTATCGAGGACATATTCTAAACGGTATGTCTGACTCTCTGTTTGATGTATATCAAAATGTTGAATCTGCAAAGTTACTGTGGGACGGTCTAGAAGAAAAGTACATGGCCGAGGAAGCTTCGAGCAAGAAGTTCCTCGTCAGTAACTTTAACAGTTATAAGATGGTCGACTCTCGACCACTCATGGAACAATACAATGAACTAATCCTGGGCCAGTTTGCACAGCATAACATGGCAATGGATGAATCCATATCTGTGTCTAGTATTATAGACAAACTACTTCCTTTGTGGAAAGGATGCAAACGTGAGTTAAAGCATAACAAGGAGGAAATGAATCTGGTGCAACTTGGAACCCATCTTCGGATTGAGGAGTCCATCCGAGATCAAAAGGGAAAAAAGGTGAAGGACATAGCCGGTCCATCGTCCATCAACATGGTCAAAGACGAAGGTTTCACCAAGGTGAAGAATAAGTCTAAGGGTAAAAAGCGCAAGTCCAGAAATACACCCAAACCTGCAAATAAAAAGGCTAAAATGGGTTGTTGGAAGTGTGGGAAACCAGGCCACTTCAAGCAGAATTGTCGGATTGGCAAACGGGACAAGGATACAAGTAAGAGTGGTTCCGGTCAAGGAACCAAGGCCCAAAACAAATCAGAAGGTCAGATTATTCCACTCATCAATGATTCAGTTAAGAATTATGTCTCAATTATATCTGATGCATTTTATGTGTAGGATGATGATATCTCTTGGTGGGTTGATTCGGGGGCAACATGTCACGTGTGCAAGGACAAAAGATGGTTTAGTTCGGTGTAATCAATGGACTATGGATCAGTGTTGCGCATGGGAAACATAGCCACCGAACCTGTCAAGGGAATTGGAATAGTAAAACTTGTATTCACTTCCGGCAATAGTGTACTCTTAGATAATGTATTATATGTACCAGGTCTTTGTAAAAATCTTATATCAGGGATTGTATTAAATAACCATGGATATAAACAAGTATTGGAAAGTAATAAATATATTCCATCTAGACATGCATGGTGGCTTTGTAGGTTTTGGTTATTTATGCAATGGCATGTTTAAATTAAGTTTGAATGTTCCTTTTGGCATGAATGATGTTTGTATGACGATTACATGTGATGCCTTAAACAAATATGTTTTATGGCATGCTCGTTTAGGTCATGTGCATTATAAAAGATTACAAGATATGTCCAAAAGTAACTTAATTCCTGCCTTTGACATAAACCAAGACAAATGTAAGACATGTATGTTAACCAAGATAACTAGAAAACTGTTTAAAGAAATCAAAAGGGATTCTAGTATACTTGAACTCGTCCATAGTGACTTGTGCGATTTTCATGCAACTCCATCTATAGGAAATAAAAAGTACATGATCACTTTTATAGATGATGCCTCTAGGTTTTGTTATGTAATCCCTCCGTCCCCATAAGATGTTCTCATTTTGACTTTTGGTTGTTTTTAAGGAGAGTTGAAAAAAGGTGAAAGTTTACCATAATACCCTTAATGAAAAATGGGTGGAGTGTATTAAATGAGGTGGGTGAGGTGTAATAAATAAAGTAAGTGGGGGTAGTTGTGGTATTTTAATTGTTAAAAAATGAAATGAGAATATCTATTGTGGACAAAGAAAAAGGGCTATTAAGAAGATCTATGAGGGACGGAGGGAGTATATCTTTTACATGCTAAGGATCAAGCACTGCAAACTTTTAAAGTGTACAAAACCGAGGTAGAATTGCATAAAAATAACTTGGTTAAAACTCTTCGGACAGATAGGGGAGGAGAATATTTTGATCCAGTTTATTTTCAATCTGTTTGTATAATTCATGAGACCACTGCTCCCTATACACCACAACAAAATGGTGTAGCCGAGCGAAAGAATAGGACCTTAAAAGAAATGGTAAACTCTATGTTGTCTTACTCAGGTTTGAGTGAAGGATTTTGGGGAGAGGCTATGTTAACAGCCTGCTATTTGTTAAATAGAGTTCCTAACAAAAGGAGAAAAAATTACCCCTTATGAAATTTGGTATGGGAAGCCACCAAACTTGAATTATTTAAAAGTTTGAGGTTGTAGAGCGGTTGTAAGACTCCCAGAACCTAAGAGGAGAACCTTGGGAGAAAAAGGCATTGATTGCATTTTTTTTGGATATGCTCAGCATTCTAAAGCTTATAGATTCTACGTTATAGAATCTAATGACTCGGTGGGAGTAAACACCGTGATCGAGTCAAGGGATGCAATCTTCGATGAAAATAGGTTTTCATCAACACCTAGACCAAGAGATATGATACTAGGTGATTTATCTATACCAAACCAAGAGGACTCTAGTAGAGACATAGTTTCTACTAATGAGTCCTTCGTTCCTAAGGAAATTAGGAGAAGCAAAAGACGTAGAGTTGCCAAATCCTTTGGCTCAGATTTGCAATTATATTTAATTGAAGGTTCTAGGGATGAAATTTTATTTCAATATAAATATTGTTATAATATTGAAGCCGATCATAGAACATATAATGAAGCTATGGCTTCAAGGGACGTGGCGTTTTGGAAAGAGGCTATTCAAGATGAGATGGACTCTATCTTGCATAACAACACTTGGAAATTAACTAACTTACCTCCTGGATGCAAACCTTTAGGATGTAAGTGGATCTTCAAGAAGAAGATGAAAGTAGACGGTTCGATCGATAAGTTTAAAGCAAGGTTAGTGATACAAGGCTTTAGACAAAAAGAAGGAATTGACTACTTTGATACCTATGCCCCTGTTGCAAGAATTTCAACCATTAGGTTGTTGATTGCTCCAGCGGCTATACACAATCTTGTGATTCACCAAATGGATGTAAAAATAGCTTTATTAAATGGTGAACTAGAAGAGGAAATCTACTTGAAACAACCCGAAGGGTTTGTTATGCCAGGAAATGAGCATAAAGTGTGTAAGCTAGAGAAGTCACTATATGGCTTAAAACAAGCACCGAAACAATGGCATCAAAAGTTTGATGATGTTGTGTTGTCAAATGGCTTTCTTTTAAACCAAGCAGACAAGTGTGTTTATAGCAAATTTGATACTTCAGGTAAAGGAGTTATAATTTGTCTATATGTTGATGACATGTTGATTTTTGGAACCGATCAAAATCAA